TAGTAGTACTTGTTGTTGTTGTTGTCATAGCAGTAGTAGTAACCACCCCAACAGTGTAATTACTCAATGACCATGTGCTCAATGTCCTCCAGCTGCCACCACGGGACATCCTCGGCCCAAGTGACAGGTTAAGCCCCGCATAGGGACGTTAAGACGTAAAATTATGGGTTTCGCGATTTTTCAGTAATGACATTGGGCTTAAGATTTCGCGTTTCAGGTTCAAGGTTTTGGTTTTCGGCCTTTCGAGGCTTGGGGTTCAGTAGCTTTTTGCTCTTGGCGCGGAAAGCTCCGAAATGCGAAGGTACAACACCGCCACCCAACACGGCTAGCAGCGAGCGACACAAAAAGCAGGCACTGTGCAGGACACCCGGCATGGATATCTTGCACACACCGCTTACAAAGAACGGAAGCGTTTCAGCCCCATCCTGAGAGCGAGACCGGTGACCTAAAGCCTCAGCCCCAAACCCCGCAGCCCCCGAAGCAAGCCCCGACACCCAGAAAAATCCTACGAATCCCCGATAATCCCTTAGAAACCCTCTGAACCCTGACAAAACCGCCTAGGAAAGCCTATCTAAACCCTTGATGAAAACCCTCAAAACCCCTGGCTTTGGGGCGGAGGCTAAAGGAGTTCGCGGCACGGAGCCTCAGAGGGCCGATGAGCAGCTCAAAGGGGCCGAGGGTTTGGGGTTTTTAGGGCAACTTAGGGCTCTTGGGGGTTTAGGGTTTTCAGGGCTACTTAGGGCTCCTAGGGCTTCAGGGTTTTAGGGCTTCACTATCTGCGACCCAAGCACTTACCAAGTCCTTTGGTTTCAAGCATACCATGGCGCGAGCTCGCAAACTCTATATGCTCTGAACCATCAACAACTTGGCTTTGCACGAAACCCTTACAACACTCGAAGCCCATACAGTACCCAAGGCCTAAACCCCAAACCCCCCCAAATCGAGATCGGACCACCTTAAGGCCGCCCTTCCGGGCAACGAGCTGGGCTTCTCGTTAAGGTGCTTCAAGCGGCTTTGGTAGCTTGGTCACGGGGTTTTCTAGGGTTTTAGAGGAGTTTAGAAGGGCTTTCACTGTATATGGGGATCCGGAGTTCAGGGCCGTGTAGCTTAAGGTTCAAAGTTTGAGGGTGCGTGAAAACCCACTGCACATTTGCTTGACCCTTAACATGGTTGTCATTTTTTAACTCTGATCGTTTTACAGAACTTTGGGACTGTATGACCTGAGCTCGTGTTACGAACATTCGTTATCGTTCGTGTTGACTCTTATCGTTTTACAAGGAATTCGATTGCTCTCAAAGTACGGACGCATCTATTTTTAAAATATGCTCTCGGGGGTTTCGATCATCCCTCGGACCATGCCTTCCACTCAAAGTCTTGCACTAGATTTGGAGATCAAACCCAAACACCGAAACCCTGAACCACTGGGATCCGGGCTGTCATCTCCTGCATCGCCAGCGGCGCCGCGGGCGATCCTCGAGGGTGTTTGGGCATCGGCTGCAGGGGGTGTGGTAGCTCCGGCGGGGAATAAATGGTCTGAATAATTACTCTGGGGCTTCAGCCAAGGACTGCTGCTATAATTATTACTCTTATTCTTATTATTATTCATATTAATAATAATACTCCTCCTCCTCCTCCTCCCCCTC